GAATATTTGTATAAAAAAGATATATGTATGGCCTTATATGCTTCCTCCCTTATGGAGTACTGCCAATCAGATATAATACCAAGGGGACTTAGACTGCAGAAAGGTCCAGCAATGTTTTTGGGAAAAGAAGAGTTTAAGAACAAATAGGCAGCGATTTTAAATAAGTGTTCCTATGACTTAATGTTGTTAATAATAGATCAAGCTTCCCAGGAGGCAGAAATAGTGAAAGGGGAAATTAAGACCTTAGAGGAGAAACTTAAAATGGAAGTGACACCGGAAATGTTTGATAACCAATATAAAGAGCTAGTTGAACAATTGAAACTATATGAGAATAGCACTAAGGAAACAAAAATTTAAAAACTGGATCGGGACATCTGCTGCTCGTGTGCTGTTCACCTGAAATGCTGTCCTGCCATGTGGTCTGTTGGAGAACAAAGGATTGCTTGGTGAGCTGAGCACATGCTTGCACAAGATGGGATCCCTGGAGGAAGATCCTTTGGTGCTACTGGATTATCACAATGGACTGTTCTGGACTGATAATTGCTCCTGACATGGTAAATATGTTCTTGTACTGTTTAGTTAAGGCAAACTGCCTTAGGCTTGTTATTTTGAAATCCTGTCTAGTCTATGCTAAGTTCTATACTGAATAAACTTATTCTGGCTTCTAACTGGTCTTTGATGTTGTAACTGAGATTCCATGACTATTTCCTGTGCCTACCTGGCCACACGCTACCATTGAGCATTAAGTGTACATTAGCCAGAGGCTAACCTAAAGGTTTGGAATCCCTCCCTTGGGGAAAAGCCGGGACTAATTAAAAAGGGATTCTGGTGGCAAAATGTTCTGAAATCCAGAGAGGGTAGCCTGCCTCTCTGGGTTGTTGTGTAATGTATTGAAAAAGTATAGGCTTCCCCTCATTCCTGGACAGGCTTGAGGGGCAGAACTCTATACAGAGGGGATATTAACTACAAAAGGTTGTAAAAATGTGTCTAAGTATTGCGAGATTGGTTCTAATTAACTCCTGACACTATGGGGCGTCGTGGTGGGGATGTAAGGGATTTATGAATTTTAGGTAAGCAATAGAAAATAGGAACTCTGGCATACTCATTAATCAAAAACTTAGCTGTTTTATTATCTATATAATCCAGGGCTAAAGCGTCTCTGGTAGATATTTTAATTATATTTAATACCTCATCTGTAGGGTATGGATTATTGAGAGACAGTATTTGTAAGGTTTCATACTATTTTATTAACAACTGTATTGGAATGATTCTTATTGTGGTTTAAGTTTTTCAAAACATTTTGTTTGAACAGAGACAGTCTGTCTGGAAATGTATCTACTCAGGAACCAGCATGAACCTTCACAAACAGCTTGAAAGTCTGTGCCAGTTGACCTGCCACAAACTTTGCTTCATGAACCATGAAGAGGCCAAACTTCATCACAATCTTTACCTCATGAGTCAGTTCATGCCCATACCTAGTTCTGGCCCCACTGGTGGACCTCCTGATTGGCCACTGTGTGACACAGTGTTGGACTGGAAGGGCCACTGGCCTGATCCAACATAGCTTCTCTTATATTCTAACGTTAAAATGCTACTGAGCACAGAAGGCTGCAGAGAAGTGGGGAGGGAGATCAGATGAAATCACCTTCACCTACTTCATCCAACAGCAGAGCCTGCTATACCAGCAGAAACCTGATTGGTAGAAGAAGACAATAGAGCTATTTCACCCGATTCCTCCTCCTAACTGCACTGCCATCGTCATTCTGTCCACGAGGCGCCACCAACTGCATGCATCGGCTGCGTGGGGGGGGGGGGTGTTTGCTGGGGAAAGTATTCACTTCTGCAAGTACGGCTATGCTCAGAGTTCACAGGATCCAACCCAACGAGTTGCAGAACTTTCCAGCAGTCCAGAATTTATGAAGTGGAACAGCACCCAAATCCCCACCATCACCACAAGCTCATAACATCACATGAAATGCAGGCACTCCACACAATGTGATAAATTGCTCATACAAGTCTCAGCATGGAGAGCCCAACCCCAGATAAGACAATATGTTCACCGTAGAACACTGCAAAAACAGCCCAGAGCAAATTAACTGGGCCACAGAATAGTTATTTGGAGAATTAGTAGTATGGCAACATTACCCTACTAGGTGGTCTGGAAATGACGGCCTGATGGTCCTGAAGACGCTGGGCTTATGCGAGTCTAAGAAATTCAAGTAATCTTCTTCACATCAAGCACCAGCCATTTCTATGTACCCAGGCATCTAATGGGTTGTACTGTCTTGTTTAATGTCTAATTTAGTGGGTTCCCCCTTCCCGCTTTTTCCCCCCAAAGGAAAGAATTTTGGTGCTCCAACTTCCCCCCGCATTGTACTTTCATTTAATTAGCTGGCGGGCCCCCTGAGGCCCCCTCCCCCAAAATTCCCTAGCTACGGGGCTGGTTGTACTGTCTTGCTTAATGTCTAATTTAGTGGGTTCCCCCTTCCCGCTTTTCCCCCCCAAAGGAAAGAATTTTAACCTTTGTTTTACAGCTTCTTCGTGCTGCCATGTTCTGAAATCATTTGTACTTTGTTGGACTTTATATTTCTTGTTCACCACCACTGGAATGTGTGCTGGTGGAGGGGCAGCACATAACATCTCTTAAGCAAACAAGAAGAAAGAAAACATTGGCCACCTTCCACACAAAGGCAACTACGTAGACATCTAGAACTCTGCACCGCAGCTATTAGTACAGATGAATAATTATCAGGTTGACGCTGGCGACTAGCAATTGCCCCCAAGCAGCCAGATGCTGACAGTCCCTTTAACGAAAGCAACCAGGAAGTCACTTTTAAAAACAGAAAGAATCCACTGGATGTGCCTTAGTTCAGCACTAAAACAAAAACTATTAATGACAAAGCTTAGCCAGTAGTTTCCTATTAGAAGCCTCCAACATAGCCTTTCCAAAGAGCACTACTATTTAGATATCCTTCTGGAATCTAATCAAGACCCAATAAAATGGCTCAGGTAATACCTCAGTCAGTGAATCAGTTTTACCATGCAGGAGATCGGAAAGGAGGTGGAATCTGCCTCTATTTACCTTTTCCTTGCCCTGAAGCAGAAAGGTGTCACATAACCGTTTGCATTTTGCCACAGAAACTGCCTTAAAAAGAAACAACCTAGAAATGTCTGGAATTTTATGTTCAAGGTATGCAAGACTCTAGTGAATAAAAGAAAACACTTTGGTACAGTTCAGAGATTCTTCCTTCATATATTATGCTGCATCTTGGCAGCATCTTTCGGTGTTGTGATAAGTGCCAGTTTGGTTGACAGGGACTCTCTAGCAAAATGGTCCAACACAGGCACGGCCAGGATTTTCCTATACATTTCTTTGGGCACGTTGTAAGTTTCATCAAGATAAATTACATATTCAAATTACCTTTCTTTGTTTTTAATTCTGCAGCCTCAGTGTAAGTACACCAGCCCCCTGTCCATCAGGAGGGGTCATTTCAACCACCAATGGACCCCATAGGGGTACCCCAGAAGTCCATATACCAGGCAACTTGATGTAAGTGGACACAAAGATGGAACTCAGGACTGGCAGGCCATAATATCATGCCTAGGATATGACCCTGGAAAAAGCACATGAGATCTTGCCTTGACAGCTGCGACTACCCCAGCCCCCCACGGCTGACATCTGCATACTCTGGACAATGGACCTGTCTTGTCCCAGAGTAATTTCTTTCAGTCAACTGCTAATCTCATCTCATCTTCCCTTCTCACATTTCCTTTATAATCACAAGTCTTTTACATCTTTTCCACAGCCCAAGACCAGGTGGCTCACCAAGCAGTATTGCTTCCTTTCTGATTAGTTTAAATTAGCAATCCATTAGTCTTCCAACCCCCGGGACCCAACCCAAAATCTACTTTACATGTAGAAGAAAACTCCAGCCTCTTGTCCTTACGTTTCCAAACTACATTGTTTTAGCCATGATTAATCCCATCACACCCCTGATTAATACCAGCGATTCTTTGTTCTGGGGGACCCCTCGCATTAGCAAGCCCTCTGGACACACTTTTGGGTATAACTAGCCCAGAGCAGTCCCAGTCTCTGTGTGCCCGCCCAGACGATCTACTGGCAGGTCACCCCCAAATTTATTTGGTCTGTTTTCCATCTTTCCAGCTCCATCGACTCCTGATCTCCTGGGTAGGTAAAGTATATTTCCCCAACCCCCGCTATTATCCTGCTCCACTCTTTATTTCCATAGATCTTGTATGTGTGTTTGTTCCATGTGTGCCGCTTGTGTAGTATAATCCCTAAGTATCCTTTAATAAAACTTTCTCTATTTTACCCTTGGACTGGTTATTAAGATCTCTTATAAAGGGAAAAATCGCCGTAAACATTGATAGTAAGGTCTGATTATTTAGAAAATTTATATGCTGCTTCTCCAGAGACCTGTGCAGGAGATTTAAAGAATTTAGTGTTTCCTACCCCAAGAAAGTGGTTTTTAAATTTATATATGTATAGACAGTCAGGCTTTTATTATTTGCAAGTCAGACCTAGAGCATTAGTGTCTATTATTTCTCAGGTGTTTCATTTCTCAATTAATAGCTTTAGGGGATTATCATTACTATTATAAATGACAATTGTATTAATTGATCCACACTATTACATACTGATACAATTATATAGTTGAGATCCAATAAAATGCTTAAGTGCCCCTCCCAACTGTGGATCATTGAGGCACAAAGAATTATTTTTCTCTGCGCAACACTGAACACACACCTGGCCCACAGTTTCTAAGTAGTCGTGCAAAGCTACAGAAAAGACTGATGCACCAAGATTCAAGAAACAAGCATTCAAGACCTATTTCAGCAATTCTGCCTCCCATTTCTCCTTTCCCCAAAACAAGTCATAGACTGAAGCTACCAAGAAGAACACTAGACAGAAAAACTCTTAAACCCAAATGATGACTCCACGGTCTATTTGCAAAACCTCTCCATTCCCAGTTACTTACAGGTTTGTCCATTTCAGGTAGTGCTGCACTGGATATCTGCTGTTTCTTTTTCATCCTCAGCAAGCGATTGAGATCTTGCACAATATCTTTTGTTGAAAATTCACTCTTTTTCCTGTCTGTGATCATAATTCCTCCTCTTTGAATGACCTGTTATATATAAAATCATCAGCAGTAACCTTTCTCCACTTAGAGCCAGCCTGCCTTTCATACTAAAGATACATCAGAGTATTTTTTTCCAAATCAGACTTTGTATTGTTTCTAACCATTCATGCTAGCATACATACGTTTCTCTCTAAAGATCCATACTGAAAGGGGTAAACACTTGCACAATGAAACTCACAGGCAATTCATACACAGCTCCCAAGCTATTAATGAAACAGCACAAGGACCCACAGTCTCTTATGCAGACACAAAGGACAACATAAATAACGTTTTGGATAATATGTATACAGGTAGAAGGCCAGTTCAGAATGTTTCAGAGCAGATGGAAAAGAAATTCCACCATGCAAAGGATGGGGGTCAAGACCTCAGGAAAGGAAGAGGAGTTTCTAAAATCTCAGTTCAGCCTGGAGAGAGGAAGAAGTGCCCTACAGGCTGACCCTCCAAACACAGAAGGTAAAGGCTTCGATTCTTTGCTTCAGTTCCCAGCACACCAGGGTTACAACCTTATCCCAGTCACATCCTGCACACACTGAAGAGAGCAAAGTGTTCTACATGGGATACTAACCAAGAGGCCTCAAGATCACAGCCTGAAAGCTCCCCACCACCTCTCTTTTTAACATCCAGCCTGATGAAGAGTTCTGGAGAAATCAAAAGCTTGCCTAGTGTGTTGTTTTTATTTATTTATTTGATTTCTAGGCCGCCCTCCCCCAGTAGGGCTCAGGGCAGTTCACAACATTCAATACATTATTCCAATACATAATCATAAAATAGGTTAAAAACCTTAAACAGCAATCAAAGTATTTTGAATGACCTGTTATATATAAAATCATTAGTAGTAACCTTTCTCCGCTTAGAGCCAGCCTGCCTTTCATATTAAAGATACATCAGAGTATATTTTTTCCAAATCAAACTTTGTATTGTTTCTAACCATTCATGCTAGCATACATACGTTTCTCTCTAAAGATCCATACTGAAAGGGGTAAACACTTGCACAATGAAACTCACAGGCAATTCATACACAGATCCCAAGCTATTAATGAAACAGCACAAGGACCCACAGTCTCTTATGCAGACACAAAGGACAACATAAATAACGTTTTGGATAATATGTATACAGGTAGAAGGCCAGTTCAGAATGTTTCAGAGCAGATGGAAAAGAAATTCCACCATGCAAAGGATGGGGGTCAAGACCTCAGGAAAGGAAGAGGAGTTTCTAAAATCTCAGTTCAGCCTGGAGAGGAGAAGAAGTGCCCTACAGGCTGACCCTCAAACACAGAAGGTAAAGGCTTCGATTCTTTGCTTCAGTTCCCAGCACACCAGGGTTGCAGCCTTATCCCAGTCACATCCTGCACACACTGAAGAGAGCAAAGTGTTCCACACGGGATACTAACCAAGAGGCCTTAAGATCACGGCCTGAAAGCTCCCCACCACCTCTCTTTTTAACATCCAGCCTGATGAAGAGTTGCCTAGCTTGCCTAGTGTGTTGTTTTTATTTATTTATTTGATTTCTAGGCCGCCCTCCCCCAGTAGGGCTCAGGGCAGTTCACAACATTCAATACATTATTCCAATAAATAATCATAAAATAGGTTAAAAACCTTAAACAGCAATCAAAGTATTCAAGATGGCATTAAAATATTAGTATCCTACCCCTGGAGGAGCAGAGAAAAGAGGATAGAAAAAAGGAGAAGAGAGGCCAAGCTTGATGTCAACTGTTCCTGTCGAGAAAGCCCTGGCTCTGGTCGAGGATAGCCAGATATCCTTTAGGCCAGGGATCAACAGGAGATTCTTCTCCCCGAACCCTAATGCTCTTCAAGGGATATGCCGAGAGGCAGTCCCATAGATATGTTGGCCCCAACCTTAAACGTTAGTACCAAAACCTTAAACTTCATCTGGTATTCAACCTGGAGCCTGTGCTGCAGATTATGTGCTGTTTGCGAGGTCCTGGTGATGTAGCCCAGAGGCGCTGCCTTCACCCTAGGGTAGCCCCAACAACAGGGGCACGCTACTTTCTAAACTGAGCCAGAGACCCACAAACCCAGACCAAGGGACACTCCTGGTTCTGCACCACCACAGAGCTAGCAAAAGTGTACAGGTCCCTTGTACCCCTCTGGCCTTGACTGCTGCCGAGCTAATTCCCCCAAACAACCAGGCAGGCCATTGGTGGTAACAGTGAGGACCTGGGCTGCTGCACTGTGGACCAGTTGTAATTTCTGGGTCAGTCTCAACGGTAGCCCTGCATAGAATGAGTTAGAGTAGTCTAGCCTGGATGTGACCATTGCATGGATTACTGTGGCTAGGTTGGAGAGAGACAGGTAGAAGGCCAGTTGCCTGACCCGGCATAGCTAGAAGAATGCCAGTCCAGCAACATTTGTGACCTGGGCCTCCATTGTTAGGGAGGCATCCAGGAGCAACCCCAGGCTTCTGGCAGTAGGTACCGCCATCAGTGGTACACCGTCCAGGGCCGAGAGCTGGCACCCAAACCCAGAAGCCCCCTGACCCAGCCACAGAACCTCCATCTTGGAAGGATTCAGTATCGCACAGCCTCTGACCATTCAGCCAAGATAGATGGGGTGATAGCTGACTGGGCAGCCATCAACAGATACAGCTGGGTGACATCAGCATCCTGTTGGCAGCTCAGCCTGAAACTCCATGCCAACTGGGCAAGGGGAAGCATACAGATGTTAAATAACACTGGAGAGAGGACTGCCCCGAGAGACTCCACACACCAGGGGATGTCAAGGCGACACCCTCTCTCCTAGCACCATCCCCTGTCCCCAACCTTGGAGAAATGAGGTAAGCCACTTCAAGGCCATCCTGCATACTCCTACGTTGGCAAAGCGGTGGATCAACAGATTGTGATCGACCATGTTGAACGATGCTGTCAAGTCTAATAGTAACAGCAACACCGACCCGCCTCCATCCAGTTGCCTGCGAAGATTGTCCATGAGGGCAACCAGTGCCGTCTCTGTCTCATGACCAGGGTGGAAGTCAGACTGGAATGGGCCCAGGGCCTTTGTGTCTTCCAGGAAACTCTGAAGCTGCTCCACCGCCACTCTCTTCATTTTGTCAGTCATAAGAAAAACTATTATGTGGCTTTTTGGTTTCTACTACAGACAACACGGCATCCTACTTTTTTAACCTCAGAGCAATTTACTTTTTTAAAAAAGGTTAACTACTCCTTATCCCAGTTACCTCAGCCATCTCTATGGAGCGTGGTTGTACTGTATCCTGTCCCTAACACGTTACGTCCCACCCCTCCAATCTTGTGGACAGAAACTAGAATGAAACGTAGTTATTTAGAAACAAAACACACACTTGTCTTAACTTAGCTGACTTTGTTCACTTCATATTTAGAAAAACGGTCTTGACAAACTGAAACATAATTCTCATCCAGACAGAGAAACATGAGCTATACATTCTGATCTGGAGAGCACATGATTGATAGTACAACCCAATCAACAGTGTTTAGGCTGAACATTATGTGGCATTTCTGCTGTTTCGCCAGATTTTGCATCCCCACCTTGCACTGACTGAGATATTATGTAGCATTTGAGAGAAGGAGGAAAGAATCATATTGAGTAGCATCTACAACTGAAGGCAGCCCCAGCACTTGCCCAAACAACTATGAGACTAATTAGCATCTACTGATTTCACCTTTTAAAGCTTCTGGGCCTATTCAAAAATAATCTAAAGCTGGGGGCCTGCAAGCAATTGGAGAAAAGATGGAAGGCCAGTTTGGTATCTGCTCCAAAATCTCCCCTCAAGGGTTTCTCCCCACCCCCTTTTTCTTTTAAACTGACATTTACAGTGCAATACTAAACAGATTTACACCACTATAAGACTGAGGAAGTTAGTGGGCATAACTAGGACTGCACTGTTAATTGCTTTCAATACTGCGTGCTCCAGGGGTCTATTTCATTTTCATCAGGCTGCTTGGATGAGGAGGGTCTTTTCCTTTTGGTGATAAAGTCATATTTTCTGTAAATTTGGGAAATCTCCTGAGGATGTAGAGACTCCTACATCCATTTTGCAACTTGGGTTATCCATACAGAACAGACAGTATCATGATGAAGAGTTTCCATTTAGCACCCAAATTTTATATTTATGCAAATAAAATCTACAATCACAAAAGGATTTATGACTTACCTGTCTCAGTTTTCCCATATCTCCAGCAGTCTCTCCCACAGGGAGAACACATTCTTTGGGTCCAATCTGAACTAGCAGAGCTTCAAGGTTTGAAAACTGATCATTATCAGGGAACTCACACACTTCCAGTTTTCTCTCCAAAGAATCTACAAACCCAACTCCAACAACTTTTTGTCCATCAGCTTGGAAGAGCTTGATACCCATAACACCAACAGAAGAAGACATGTCATGGTTACCAAACAGAATATCCTCAAACTGGGCAAGGTTTCCTGGAGAGCCCTGTTTGAGAAAGGAAATCAAATCATTGGTCCAGAATGAAATTTCACTTAGCTGACTTTGTTCACTTCATATTTAGAAAAACGGTCTTGACAAACTGAAACATAATTCTCATCCAGACAGAGAAACATGAGCTATACATTCTGATCTGGAGAGCACATGATTGATAGGACAACCCAATCAACAGTGTTTAGGCTGAACATTATGTGGCATTTCTGCTGTTTCGCCAGATTTTGCATCCCCACCTTGCACTGACTGAGATATTATGTAGCATTTGAGAGAAGGAGGAAAGAATCATATTGAGTAGCATCTACAACAAAATTAATTATTTGTCCTTGCAGACCCAGCAAACTTAATGCGCCTGAACTGAAGGCAGCCCCAGCACTTGCCCAAACAACTATGAGACTAATTAGCATCTACTGATTTCACCTTTTAAAGCTTCTGGGCCTATTCAAAAATAATCTAAAGCTGGGGGCCTGCAAGCAATTGGAGAAAAGACGGAAGGCCAGTTTGGTATCTGCTCCAAAATCTCCCCTCAAACTGAAGGCAGCCCCAGCACTTGCCCAAACAACTATGAGACTAATTAGCATCTACTGATTTCACCTTTTAAAGCTTCTGGGCCTATTCAAAAATAATCTAAAGCTGGGGGCCTGCAAGCAATTGGAGAAAAGATGGAAGGCCAGTTTGGTATCTGCTCCAAAATCTCCCCTCAAGGGTTTCTCCCCACCCCCTTTTTCTTTTAAACTGACATTTACAGTGCAATACTAAACAGATTTACACCACTATAAGACTGAGGAAGTTAGTGGGCATAACTAGGACTGCACTGTTAATTGCTTTCAATACTGCGTGCTCCAGGGGTCTATTTCATTTTCATCAGGCTGCTTGGATGAGGAGGGTCTTTTCCTTTTGGTGATAAAGTCATATTTTCTGTAAATTTGGGAAATCTCCTGAGGATGTAGAGACTCCTACATCCATTTTGCAACTTGGGTTATCCATACAGAACAGACAGTATCATGATGAAGAGTTTCCATTTAGCACCCAAATTTTATATTTATGCAAATAAAATCTACAATCACAAAAGGATTTATGACTTACCTGTCTCAGTTTTCCCATATCTCCAGCAGTCTCTCCCACAGGGAGAACACATTCTTTGGGTCCAATCTGAACTAGCAGAGCTTCAAGGTTTGAAAACTGATCATTATCAGGGAACTCACACACTTCCAGTTTTCTCTCCAAAGAATCTACAAACCCAACTCCAACAACTTTTTGTCCATCAGCTTGGAAGAGCTTGATACCCATAACACCAACAGAAGAAGACATGTCATGGTTACCAAACAGAATATCCTCAAACTGGGCAAGGTTTCCTGGAGAGCCCTGTTTGAGAAAGGAAATAAAATCATTGGTCCAGAATGAAATTTCTATTCCCTTGTTCTTCTTCATGATGCACTGAATGCTGATCTAAGCTGTCCAGAGCCTTAGGGCTAAGCCAAAATAAATCTTAAAACCATGTACACAAATCATCAGTCACTTTTAATTTCCATGTTAATCTGGCACAGACAGAAGTACACAAGAACAATTCATTAAGCCACATGGTATGATTTTTGCATACGCTTCCCAACATTTTGTATCCCTTCTTCTCAGCAGGGATGAAGGGAAGCATCTCAAGTTCTGTAAAAAGAAAGCTGAGCTCCTTACTTTTCTGAAGGACTTACAGTGAAACGAAAATTCCAGGAGGTAACCCAGATGATTAGTCTTGCCAAAGCTGGAAAAATTAATGATTTATAAAGGAGGCAAACCTCAAATAGATGGGCAGAGAAGCAAAATTGGGACTGTCTTTATGCCAGCTGTGTGAGACCAGAGCTAAGCGAATGACTGTTCCTACTCTCTTGCAAGTATTTGATCCGGGCATTGCCAGAGGCATGGGACTTTGCTACAGGCCAAAGTACAAGAGGCAAAGGACTCTTAGCCCATGGCTCTGAGCGAGTTGGACCACTGGATCCAGGAGGACCATGCCAGGTGTTAGAGTTCTGCTGGGTATATTTTTTCCTTCACTTACTTAAACTATATTTCTGTTTCTTCCATTGCTGGTTTGTTTGTTTTGTAAGAGACTCTGAGTCTTTATTTTTTTAAAACAAGCCTGTGCTTGGGCAGTACCTTTTTGGGTTACCACTCACATCAACAAAGTCTTGTTCATACAAAAAATGTCCATACACATAGAAGTCTAGCAGCTTAGGCGAAAAGCCTTCTTCTTGTCATCTTGTTTTCTTTGTAGAATGAAGGAGCAGTTATATGAGCTCCATCTGCAGTCTGGTACAGTCCACACTGATTTATCTTAGTAAGAATCAAGTCCTATTCTCCCAGAAATATTAAGTATTTATTCAGTCCTCAACACAGGTGCTGACTTCTATAACTATTACAAAATTCAATAGTGCGTTTAGTAAAGAAGCAGCACTGGAATACTAGAAGAAGAAGAGAAGAGGAGATTGGATTTATACCCCGCCCTTCACTTGGGAGTCTCAGAGCGGCTTACAAACTCCTTTCCCTTCCCCTCCCCACAACAGGCACCCTGTGAGGTGGGTGGGGCTGAGAGAACTCTGACACAAACTGCTCTTTTTCAAGGACAGCTGTGCCAGAGCTTGTGACTGACCCAAGGTCACATCAGCAGGTGCAAGTGGAGGAGTGGGGAATCAAACCCGGTTCTCCCAGATTAGAGTCCGCACACTTAACCACTACACCAAACTGGCTCTTTAAATGTGCACAAATTCCATTTGACTGTCAAATGGAAAAATACTAAATTATACAAAAACCTGCATTAAGGACAAAAAACAAGCACATCTTAAAATCCTTATTCAATCAAACTTCTTATGATAAAGATGTTGTAGATAAAATTGTCTGAACAAATGAGGCAAAAGTCAGAGTGAAGGTTAAAAGAAAAACTCTTTACTATACTATTCTACTATACTAACTCTTCTTGTCATCTTGTTTTCTATACTATACTATACTATACTATACTATACTATACTATACTATATTATTACTATACTATTCAGGGAACCTCTGATCACAGGAGCTCCTCAGACAGTTGCATACAAGCATTTTTATAGGTATATAATTACATCATTCAAATCCTGCCCCCAACCGGTGTGTCACACCCTCTCCGTTCACTCATTGGCTGAAGTTAATTGGAGGGTACAGCCTTTCCGAACCGCCTACTGATCCACCCATGTTGACAGCCTACCCCTACCATTATTAGAGAGACCTCAGCCCTTATTGTCAAAACTCCTTCTATGGGAATTTTGAGAATAGCCTCCCACGTACAGTCTGGCACAATCTGACCATTTTCACCACGATTGCAAGCTACTTCCTTTTTCTAGCCCTGTTGCTAAGCTTTGTATAATTTCCCTGTTCCTTGTGTTCTTTAGTTATTGCGAAGCTATGCTAGTTCCTACTTTTAAGCAACATCTCTCAATAATATGTCTTGTGGTTAACAAGCTATTCTCTAATGCATTCTTAGCAAGCAATTTTATGGATCAATCTGGCTAAAATGCTTTAATCAAAATTCACTGTTATTTCCCCTCACAAAGAGATACCTTGTATGCCAAGCGCCACTCATTCTCTTTAGAGGATTTACTTCCTGCTTTGTTCTTGTACACTTCTACCCTGTATTGACGAACTAGAAGTAGATCCCTCAAAAAAGACTCAAAGTTCATCTTGCTAAGCGAAACACTTTCAAGTTTCTGGGCTCCTAAGAGAAAGGAAAAGGAGATTTAAGAAGTGTAGGTTGCACTTGCGAAGAGAGATGTTCACAGAAAAGCACTTTTAATTGAGGCACTTAGCACCAGTGTTCCCGCTAATCTGAGTTAGTGTGAGCTAGCTCACAGTTTTTTAGCCTCCAGCTCACACATTTTTGTCTTCGCTCAGGAAGGATGGCTCCAGAGCAAACTAAGTTATGCAGTAGCAAAATCGTTTGCTCACAACTCTAATACCAGTAGCTCACAAAGTATAATTTTTGCTCACAAGACTCCACAGCTTAGAGGGGCCATTGCTGAGCACTTCCACTTAAATTTGATTAGACAGAGCCACAATAATGAAATCGAATATGCAAGTAGAATCATAGAATCTCTTCTTTAAAAAATAGGAAAAAGTTGTTTACAGCCTTGCTGTTCGAAAACCAAACTTCAAAACCAAGACAACAATCCATGTAGTATGACCACAAGCACAGCTGTAAACACCTTTCTACTTTTATTATACAGCTAAAGAAAAGTATCTGACAAACAAACCAGCAAGCCACTGTGCATAACAGAATGCAACAGTTTGGCCCATTGACTTTACATCTCATGTAACATTTTCAGTTTATCTCCACAGTTAAATGTTAATACAACAAGTACCAAGTGATTTCTGTGTTTCCTGATTAAATGAAATCTCATTTTTGTCTTTTGTTCGGCAAAAGACTAAGTGCAACCTACCATCAGCATCATTTCAAATGTGCATCCTTGCGGGAACATTATCTGTAATATTACTGAGGTAATTTAAGGTGGGTAGCCGTGCTGGTCTGAAGCAGCAGAAGTTTGAGTCCAGTGGCACTTTTAAGACCAACAAGCCTATCCACACTAACTCGGCAGTAAGCACCACTGAACTTACCGGCAAACACTGCATCCTTCAATATTTTTCTTTTTAATGATTTTGTTTATTTAAAATGGCATACACCACTTTCCCACAATTTAAGCTATTTTACAATAAGGCAAGTCAGATAGCAGACCACAGAAATTACTTTTGAGACACTGGATGTGGGGGTGGAGAGTTGAAAGTTATGATGTTTGTAGACAAGAAAAAAATTCTTTGCCTTATGTTTTATTGCAAGCAGTTCCCTTTAATGGGTTAGCAAATTACTGGGGGGACCTCTAATACATAAGTGACAGAATTTGGGAACGACTTGTAAACTAGAGGAAAAGTAATTAAAGGCCCAGAGCCACCCCCCCCCAGGTCTCAGATAGCAGACTTCCCCAACAGACTAACTCAGACACCAACAACCCCTGCTGCACAGCCGACAGCCTCTTCCCTGCACCCACCCCGACCCCGCCAACCGCGCACCTGTGCCCAGGATTCGAATAACTTCCCGCGTCCGGAAAAGCTCCTTGGCCGCCAGCGCGGCATCTTCGCCATGCACCGTGTAGTAATCGCCTCGCTCAAAGAAACGCACTGTGGTGTCGGGTTTAGTGGGCAGCGCCAACACCGCGCGCACGAACCCGGCGTCTGAGGCTGACCCGCCGTCACGCTGAGAAGGATCCGCGGAGGCCGCCATGCTGAAATCTCCCGCCAGCAACAGCAACGAGGCCTTCAATCCCCACCCCCACTACTTCTACCGCATCCAATCGGAATCGGAACGCGAGGATAACGCAGGCTTTCTGTTTTGGTAGTCCCCTCTCGGCCACCGTAGGAATTACGCGTTTTTCATATCCATTCCGACCAACAAGAACTCTGATTACTGTGACAACTGGGGCACCCTGAGGGCTGTGATCCGTGAACGGCCTGAGAAATGGCTGCAATGGGAGTAGATATGGCAGCGAACTTTGCCGTATCTGTTCTTCCTTTAGATTCCCAAAGCGGCTCCTTTTTTCCTCCTTGGCTTGGTATACTCCCGCCAGCAAAGCAGCCTCCGCCCCCAGCTAGTCTCGCTAGCCAATCACAGCGCAACGATAACGCCGGCTTCCCCCCTCCCCAGTAACGATCCCACCTCGGCCGCCGTAGAAATTAGGAGTCATTCGTAACCATTTTGAGCGGTGGAAATGGGTAGCCGTGTTAGTCTGTTGTGGTTGAAGAGTGTCCAGTAGCCCCTTAAAGAGTAGCAAAAATTGTGGTAGGGTATGAGTTTTCGTGGGTCACTGCTATCTGAAGAAGTGAGCAGCTCATACCCCACCACAAATTGTGTTAGTCTTCAAGGTGCCACTGGACTCTTTTCTACTGCATTATGAGCGGTATGAGCTCTCTTGGCCACCGTCTGAGATACCATGGCAACCAGTACACACTTGGGGCTACCATACGCTGTGAAGTTTGGAAATGGTTGAAACGAGCGATAAGGGCCGTGGTTTGCCTTTCTGTATTTAAGTTATTTTTTTCCTTTAGACTTCTAGAGCTGCTTGCCTTGTTTAAGCATGCACATGTGTGTGGCCTAATATCCTCCGATCAAAGAGATGCCTTCCTTTGCTCTGCTGCTTGCTTTAGGCCTTTAGGGTTGCCAGCTCTGGGTTGGGAAATACATCGAGATTTCTGGAATGGAGCCTGAGGAGGGCAGAATTTGGGGAGGGGAGGAGCGGGACTTCCATGGGGTGCCATAGAGTCTACCTTCCAAAGCAGCCATTTTCTCTAAGTGAACTGATCTCTGTTGCCTGGAGATCAGTTGTAATCCCAGAAGATCTCGAGTCACCACCTGGATGTTAACAACCCTAATTATTGAGAATGCACTCTTAAGGTTGCAGTTCACAAAGGAAGGCATTACTTTGATGGAAGGATACTAGGCCACACATGTTATTTATAAACTGACTGTCTTCAGATCTTTTTGTAGTAACAGCTATCAATACAGACGTCTTTGTGCCTTTAACAATAATTCAAATAACAAGTCTAAGTGTTTTTTGTTTTTATATTATTATTTCATTTTATCCTGAACACACTATGGTGGTACGTTGGGCTGAGGTACTGACATCACAAGCTACAATCGTGAACAGGGATTTAAATCTCAGGGGTGGAAACTAGTCAGAGGGTCAAAAATACTGATTTTACTGTCCAAAATTCAAAAAAACCTGACCAAACACTGACAAATTACTGAACAAATTAATGTCAGCCTACTGATAAGCCTACTGACTAAGGAGCTGCGGTGGCTCAAGTGGTTAAGACGCTGGAAGGTCAGTAGTTCAGCAGTTCGAAGCCCGAGTGTGCCACATGACAGAGTGAGCTCCCGTCTATAGTTCCAGCTCCTGCCAACCTAGCAGTTCGAAAGCAAGAAATTGCAAGTAGATAAATAGGTACCACTTTGGTGGGAAGGTAACAGCGTTCCGTGCGCCTTGGTGTTTACTTATGCCGGCCACATGACCACGTAAATGTCTTCGGACAGCGCTGGTTCTTCAGCTTTGAAACGGAGATAAGCACCGCAACCCTAGAGTCGGATTCGACTGGCTTTCGAGCAAGGGAACCTTTACCTTTTACTGATTAAGCTAGCGTTTTAAATGTAAAACTAGGACTTCATTAAAAATTATTATCTGGCCTCCACCATCCCCATAGCCAGCCCCGTAGTTAGGTGTGACCCAGATAAAAGGATTGCTCACCTTTTTATTGAATTTTTTAATGAATAGAGGACAATGTTTTCATTATTGTACAAAATTTAAGGCAAAAAAGATCCCCTTTTAAAAATAATCACATACAAAGTAATAATTATGACAACAAAACATAATTACTGCAAGGTAAGACTTGTCTTTGCTTTTACTTTATCTTTGGTTTTCTGATGAAAAAAGAACCAGCCAGCAGTCTGCCATCCCTGGTGGAGGCCATGTTGGGATGGGCATTGGAACACCCTAGACTGATTGTCCTGTGTGATTTCAGTGTCCATGCGGATGATGTGGTCTCCACTCAGGCGTCCATGGTGGCACTGGGACTCTCCCAATATGTAACGACTCCCACTCACCAGGCCGGACACACACTCGATCTGATCTTTGCAGCAGGGGTCACAGTGGACTGGGTCACTGCCTACGCAGTTCCATGGTCGGACCATCATGCCCTGAAGGCCCATCTGAATGTTTCACCCCAACCCTGTTTGGGCGGCAAGCAGATTTTGGCTTGCCCGCGGACCCAAATGGCCCTGCGGGATCCTGTGCCCCCTGGCAGCTCGTTAGATGAGTTTGTGGAGGATTGGCACAGCTGACTCCCAGCACCCATCAATGAGATTGCTCCCAGACACCCTCTGCGCCCTCACTCTAGGCTGGCTCCTTGCTTTACCCAGGCGTTGCGGCTGATGAAGTGAAGGCTAAGATGGCTAGAGAGACAGTAGTGGTGTGCCTGCGACAAAGCCACAAGAACATCTTATAGGATGTTTGAGATCCTATGAGATGGCAGTCAAAGCCGCTGAGAGTATTATGCGGCTACGATTGCATCTGCGAGCTCATGCCCAGCCCAATCATTTAGAATAATTTGGTCTATGACTGTTCTGCCACAAGGCAGACCAAATGTTAGGGAATTGGACACTGGCTGCGAGGCCTTTGCGAGCTACTTTGCAGATAAAGTCTTGTTGCTCCACCATGACCTCCCCACCACAGTTGAGACAGTGAGCGAACTTGAGGCTCCATGCACGTCTTCTAGTCAGGTTACGGATTATTTCAGTCTGCTCAGCCTAGAGGAAGTTGACAAACTACTCAACTATACGCTGCCTTGACCCGTGCCCATCATGGCTAAGTAAAGCTGGCCGTGATGGATTTCAAGATGCCCTAAGGGAGATTATCAACAAGACCCTCTCAGAGGGACAGTTCCCTAGGGCACTCAAGGAAACTGTGGTTTGTCACTCAAGGAAGCTGCGGTCTGTTTCCTCCTGAAAAAGCCATCTCTGGATTTGGCCGAATTGGCTGATTACCGGCTGGTCTCCAATCTGCCAATCTGCCCTATTTGGACAAAATAACTGAGAGGGACATGGCAATTCAGCTACAGAGCTTTTTGGATGACACGTCTATTCTAGATCCTTTCCAGTCCAATTTCTGCACAGGCACTAATCGCCCTCATGGATGACCTCCGGAGGCATCTGGATCGGGTGGGGGGGTGGATTGGCAGCAATGTTGCTGTTGGACCTGTTGGTGGTATTCGACACAGTCATTGATCCATCACCTTGCACTGGAGTCCAGGGGCCTGCTTTGCAATGGCTGGCTTCCTTCCTTCAGGGTTGGGGGCAAAGGGTGGCACTAGGGGAACAGCTATCTCAAAGGCACCCACTGATTTGTGGAGTGCCCCAAGGGGCAGTGCTGTCCCCAATGTTACTTAACATCTACATGCACCCCCTTGCCCAGAGTGCCCGGAGGCATGGGCTGGGATGTCACCAGTATGTGGATGACACTCAGCTCTACCTGCTGTTGGGAGAACAGTCTAACTCTACACTGGAAGATCTGGACTGGGCGTTGCAAGCTGTGGCTGGTTGGCTCAGAATGAGCCAACTGAAATTGAATCCGACGAAGACGAAGGTCCTGTGCCTGAGCTGGGGTAGGGATCCTACTTCTGACCTTCGATGGGGTGCAGTTGGTGCCAGCACCAGAGGTTAGGAGCTTAGGAGTGCTCCTAGATGCCTCTCTAACAATGGAGGCCCAGGTAGCAGCCACTGCCAAATCAGCCTTTTACCACCTCCGGCTGATTAGACAGTTGGTTCCCTTCCTCGAATGCAATGGCTTGGCGACAGTGATCCATGTGATGGTCACTTCAAGATTGGACTACTGTAATGCACTCTACATGGGGCTGCGCTTGACCCAAATCCAGAAGCTACAGCTAGTGCAAAATGCTGCAGTCAGGCTTCTGATGGGCTTCCCTATGCGGGAGCACATCCAGCCTATGCTGAAAACACTGCACTGGCTGCCGAATTTGCCTCAAGGTTCTGGTACTTACACCTTTAAAGACCTTTATGGTCAGGGGCCCATATACCTGAGGGAACGCCTTTCCCCACACGTTCCCCAGAGAGCACTGAGCTCAGGATCACAAAATCGATTGGCCTCCCTGGTCCTAGAGATGCCAGGCCAGCCACAACCAGGAGCAGGGCCTTCTTTGCTTTAATTGGCTGGTGGCCCCCCAGCCCCCTCCCCCAAAACTCGGAGCAGGGTGGGGTATAAATCCAATCTCTTCTCTTGTGCAGAATGCCGCAGCCAGGCTACTCATAGACCTGCCCAGATGGAAGCACATCTGGCCTGTGCTGAAGGCACTGCACTGGCTGCCAATAGCATACCAAATTCGCTATAAGGTGCTGGTGCTTACGTTTAAAGCCCTATATGGCCAGAGTTCGACATACCTGAGGGACCACCTTTCCCCATATATACCCCAGAGAGCACTGCGGTCGGGGTCACAGAACTGACTGACACACACACACCCCGGCCCTTGAAGATGCCAGACTCGCCAGGGCCTTTTCAGTGGCGGCTCCTTGTTCGTGGAATGAGCTCTCGGAAGATATCAGGGCCCTGTGGTACCTGCAAGATGGAGGGCCTGCAAGATGGAGCTGTTCCACCAGGCCTTTGACTAAGGAGCTGCACCAAATAACATCAAATAACTGAGAAGTAACAGTGCCCTGGTCCTTGGCTTACCACCAACAGTCTGTGCTGTTGCCTAAATACAGAAACCAAGACGAACCAGCCACCAATATAGATCTGATTACAACACTAGTATTGGTTCCACCTTCTGTAATCATTGTTATAAGTACCTGATCACTTACTAGCACTTTTGATAATGTAGTTTTATTATTTGTTTTAAGATAATTTGTTACCTATATGTTTAATCTCTTTGTAAGCCACCCTGAGCTCACTCCAGCAGAGAGGGCGGGGTATAAATTGAATAAAGTTCACAAACTCTTTCGTTTGTTTTCTGTACTGCATCCAAAGCATTTTTTCCCCTTGTCTTCTTCCAGAGCTGTGCAATTTTGAATCCCACAACATCCATCACCTCTACTTTCACTGTCTCATGTTTTAAGAGGTTAATTATGTTTCTATACTTTGTGGAAGTTTTCACCAAATCACTTTTACTCTTAGGAACAAAGTCCTTAAAGTACTTCATAACTAAACTGAAAACAATCTGTCTTCTCACTGGGAAGTCATCATGTTTCCCCAAAAATGCAGTAATGAAAAGGGGAAAATACAAACTGCATTCACAAAAATCAAAGAAATACTGACTTTACTGACCATTTTTTTAAAAAACTGACAAATTACTGAGCAAGATGAAAAAACTTCCTGATTTTACTGACCATTTTCCACCTCTGAAATCTTAGTCTCCTCATCCAATGCACAACAGTTTCTAAAACATTTTTTGTTTGACATGGGGGAAAGTTCCAGCAGAATTTTAAGGCCGTAACAATTTTAACTGAAGCAGGACATAAATTTTTTAGACAAGACAAACACCTATGAAAATGTCAATTGCACCAGTAGTTGGACATTTTCAGGCAGTGCTTTGAGGTGTAGCATCAGGTAAGTTGCTTTGTTATTGAAAAGCACGTTCTGGTTTTTGGTTCCCTGAGATCATGACTGCTTAATCTTTTTTTAAAAAGGTATTAGGCACATGCAACAGTTCCATAGACACACAAACATGCTATGAAGAGAAAACTTCTGAAATTCTAGAGTTTCACAAGCATATCTTGTTAGAAGGAAGCATAGATCCTGGCAAGAAGGATCTGAAGAATCAATTGACATCCTGCTGCTGTTTGATCTTGAGCTTCTCTTTGACAGCACCACAAGAGTTGACTACTTTCAAGTCAGGAATCCCCTTTGTCTCAGTTAAAGGACACTAGTTTCATATGGTGGTTGTTCTACGAATATCAAGGAACCAGCAACAAATTGGTTCCAGAATTTATTAAGTTCATCACTTGTAAAAAAATTCCAGCAAAAATATTTACAGACATTTTAAAAAGCACAATACACTTCACTGTATGCAAGAGACAAGTCTGGCAGCCAAAGTGGGCCAAACATCCTCTAGAACTTTCAAAACATACTTCTTGTTTAGTATACACTTAACAGTAAGGCATCATTAAAATGTTACAATAACTGTGACAAAGGAGGACTCATCTGAACATGCTATGTCTTATCCCTGAAAACGCAACGTGCCTGTAGAAATCCTACATCTTTACTAAAGCTACAGATATTCACTGTGTACAAATGAAGAGTCCATATAGTTAATCTTCAGTTTTCATATTATGTTTATCTTGTGATCCTTATTACAGCAGTTAGGATTTTAGTTCTCGGTGCATTTCATTCATTTCCTTTACCTGAGGAAAAAACATTAAAACTTAGTTGTTTACCAGCAGCGTTAACTAAAACAAGGACATTCATCTGCCCCTCAAAGGCAGGTGGTGGGAATTATAGCAAAGATGTACCTGTATTTAAAGTTAACAGTTATACGTAGACTCTTGACTAGTATTTAGGTCAAGGAATCTACTCTCACACTGGTAAGTACTGATAAGGAATTATTTTCAATGCTGATGTGAGAAGTCATTAGAAACAGGAGAGAAGTTACTTTTGTAACTGTACACCAGTTTGAGATCAGTTTACGCAATATCCACTTTTTATGAGACACTCTAAATTCATTTTTACTGCTTGTGTTTCCATTTGGCCCACATAACCATCTGTTCATTTTCAATTTTACCTGCAACTATACAAAAAACCCTCCCCCAGGCTAATCTGTACTTAAAGACCCTTGAAAGAGAGTGTCCATAGCCCTACTGGGCAGCAAGAGACCTCCCCGCCAAGCACAAGTTAGTCCCCAAGCTGACAGGTGTCAAAGCCTGATGCTCATACAGAGATGCTGGCCATTCTATTAAAACTACTGGCAAGCTCAGGGCCATCTTTGCTGTATAGCTATTAGGCTCTGGTCACTAACACCAGAACTGCCCAGATTCATTCTGTTGAAGCCACTGTTTGCACAACACCTCCTGGTGGTCCCCAGCCAGAAAAGATTTTGTATTAGAAAGATCAGTCAGCTGTTTTAAAGGCCCCCCTTTTTGAAATGGGCACTTACCTCAGCTTTCTCATATTTCCCCGTCTTTCTTCTAGTAAAAACCTGTAGTGGAAACAGTATGTTAGGCCAAGTCCTCTCATACCTTAAAACAATTCAGTGCTCCAATGAGAGAATATTTATTTAACTTAAAAGTTTCTGGTCCTATGTCAAGACGTTATCTACTATTAAAGCTGCCTGTTAAGCACACTGCCAATGAAATATGCAGTGGTATTAAGGTCTGAGAACCCCTTTTAAGTACCTTATTCAAATTAGTGCAAGCAGAACTTTACCCCTCTTTACTTGCCTCATTGCATCCCACCCATTCCATGTGTCTATTATTCCGGAAAATTAAACTTTCCCAGGTGTGGTACTGCTGAGAGGGAAGGGAATGCAGGGAACAGCTGTGATCCTGGTGTGAGGAAATTGCTGTCTGCAGCAGTACTCCTCAGTTTCCCCAACAGTGCAAATAAGAGGATCCCTGGAGCAGTTTCACATCAGGAAAACAGTGTGAGCAGAAGATTTAAACCTCTTCTCCCCAGGGTCCTGATGCTAATCAGAGTCGTATGTGCCTGAAAGCGAAGTTCTTTCAAAGATCACAGAGTTCAGAGTTTGATTATCTGGTCTGACAGGATCCAGTGCTGACCAAGGAAAAGTGTTACATGTAGTCAGGCCTTCACTTTCACTGGTCAAGAATACTTCAGTATTTCCACATAAATTAGTGCCACCTCATAGTAACCTATAAAAAGCTAAAATCATACCAGTACAAGAATGCCAGCAACTATTGCCAATGCGACAACGACAATGACAGCAATTACTCCAGCAGTCAAGCGTTTCATTGAGAACTCTGGTGGCTTTTCATCAACATAGTAGATCAGAGTGTCTTGAAGCTGCAGAGGTTCTCCTCGGACTGTAATGTTCCAGAGTGACTGAATGGGTATGGAGTCCCCTTTGACCTAAAAGAGAGCAGAAACATTACCCTTTCTGTACGGACCTTAGAAATGTAGTATTGAATGACTTACAGTATAAAGGAGCATCTTTTGTATAAAGTAACAGGATGTTATACGTACATCTTTTTCAAAGTAGTATGCTACATCAGCTATATCCACATCACTTGCAGATTTCTCTGAAGCATTTTGTTTCAGGTCAACAGTGATATAACTGTTATCATACTGGAAGAAAAGACAGATAATAGTCAGTCAAACCACATTATTCCCATGAGTTTAAGAGTAGTGTTCCTTTGACTACTTCAGGAACCTGTACACCACAGGACTTTGGCCATGAGTTTAAGAGTAGTGTTCCTTTGAATACTAGTGTGAGAAACATAACTACTTCAGGAACCTGTACACCACGGGACTTCAGGAACTACAACTACTTAAGTATCAGTTTAGGGCTAATTGGCAAGAGTACCAGGGGTGTCGATGCTCAGCTTTGATAGTGTGGCCCATAGCAGAAAGGGTCTGAAACGGGGGATTCAACAAGAAATGCAGACTTTGAAGTAGCAAGCTATGGAATGGGTAACCAAGCCATAATAGATTATAGCCTCCTCTTCCCTGGGCCCACCAGCAAGATGGGAGGAACTGCTAATAAGCTAGTGCAGAATGGCAACATCAGTCCTACCATTCTAGTTCCTCAGCCATTTGATATTCCATCTTGCAGCAGAAATTAACATCCAAATTTTAAAATTACAGCTATTCCAAATGAAATGTTTGAAATTGGCATGCAACACCCTGCAGAAGAACCAAGAGGAAACCTGAGCAACTTTTCTACTATTCCAATATCACCATACCGCAACATTTATGTGTTTTTCTTTCAAGAGGTAGCGTTGAACAAGTGCTTCTGTAAAGGCCCTGTAAATTAAAAGGTAAGGATTAGAAGCTGCACAGGTTTTAAAAAGATATTTTAAACATGGGTATCAGTGTCACATTACAAGTCTTAGTGAATACACTAACCACATTTGTATTTACACCTTTTTTTCTTCTCTTTTTGCCATCTGCAGTCACAGCATTGGTGTAATCCAGCCCTTCCAACCCAGCTGTTTCCTGCTAATAACAGCTAATTCACATGCAGAATTTTAAATGAAATGGCACAATGGTACCTGTGAGGCTGCACATAGATAGTACTTTCTTCCTTGAAATACATTCCACCTTATAACAGATTCCTCACTACCCTGAAGGCTTCCAACATACAAAGTGACTAGGAATAGCCAAATACTAGGATGACATACCTCTCAACAGACTGTGCATCCAAAGCAGTATTTACAGGTTTCGTTTCAATAATAATCCAGCTGGGGGGAAAATGAAAGATTTTTTACCCTAAAGAAATTAGCTGGATATTTCTGCACATCAAGCAAGTATAGCATGTAAAACCTCTGTACAGATGAACCTTTAAATTTTATGGGATCCTGCAAAACAAAGGCGGCAGCAGAGGCCAGAGGAGGCTCCACTTACTGGGTGAAAGGCTGCAGCTGCTCCAGGACACAGTGGGGCACCTCACAAGAAGACAGTAATAGCGCTAAGAAAACCCAGCTGGGATGGAGCAAAGAAAGCAAAGGGTTAACAGAGCAACAAGGCTCTGAGAATGGAGGCATGGTGTTGGGCTTAACCAGCATGGGCAGTGCTCCAGGGATAAAGAGAGATGTCAGAAGAAGAGACAAGGGAGGTGAGAAATGCAAGGTGGCAGAACAAAGCTGAGAGGGTGCAAAGAAGGGAGAAAAGAGAAACCTAAAGGAGGAGCTGAGGCCAAATAAGGGTACCAAACTGGACAGGTCTGGTGGAACTGCCCAAAGGCAGAGGCACAGCTCAGCTCTATGAGATTTGAAGGACAGAAACAGGTGGGAACTGTGCGCATGAGGAGGAAGTCCCACTGTTCGGGGAGGGAGCCATTTTGAAGATGTAGATTACGAGCTTGAATTTTAGGGTCTTGGCTGTAACAGCCCCCAGATCATAGGACTCCCTTCTCTCAAAAGCATACCTGGTATCTTGCTACTTGAGGTTAATAAATGCCTTTTCTTTTATGTTTTAGATGCCTCCCCCCACATCCCTTCTAGTTCCAATTCTGGCCTCCTAGTTTTGTTGTCTGTTTTAACAGTACGTGGCTGGATTTAACTTTCAAACCCTTTTCCAACTGCTACAATGTACATATTATTTGCATAATTATGTAATTTTGATTGGTACAAAATTTTACATCCTGGTAGCTGCAACAAAAGCATTGTTGATCACTTCCATCTCCTCAAGACGGTATGGTGCCAAATACAAATGCGTTCTCACATTAAGATTTACCTTGTCCGTACTACTTCATCGCATGTGATGTTTGCATCACCCTTTTCAGTTCTTCGTACTCCAGCAGAGTTAACACACCAGCAAGTGCTTGTCCCATTACACTGTTTAGCTTTGAAGTTGCCATTATGGTCACACTCTGGATTATAAATGCCGTCGTTGTCTACAAAAGCCTGACTTGGTCGCTTTCTACCCCTTAAGCCAGTAACTTCTGCCTTCATCAGTAAGCATTTTGAGGTCACTAAAAACAGAGAAGTATAACAAACCACCTTTAAAACTCTGGATGATTTTTATTCATTTATTATTTCATTTCATTCAATTTGCTAGGCCACGTTTCCCTGAGGCAGAAATAGCTGGGTTTCATTGGCATATTGTTGACACCCCAGCCCGAAACTCCACACCAGCTGGGCAAAAGGGCGCATATAGATGTTGAACAACATCACAGACAGAAGTGCCCCTGGGGACCTTGGGGACACTGACCTTCCCAGCACTACCCTCTGTCCCCGGACCATGGAGAAGTGAGGTAAGCCACTGACGCAGTGAGTGAATAGACGATAGTCGACTGTTGAGCACTGCTGTAAGATCTAGTAAAATCAGCAGCACCAACCCACCTCGATCCACCCACCTGTGGAGATCATCCACGAGGGCAACTAACGCAGTCTCCATCCCATAGCCGGGGCGGAAACCAGACTGGAATGGATCCAACACCGATGTGTCATCCAGAAATTTATGGAGTTGTTCAGCTACTGCTCTCTCAATTACCTTACCCAGAAACAGTAGATTAGAATCAGGTGGTAATTGGTCAGATCTGTAGGATCTAAATTTGGTCTTTCCAAGAGTGGGACAACCACTGCTTCCTTCAACCCTGCTGGAAAGGTCCCTGTGCCCAAGGACAGATTAACAATATCTTCCAGAGGAACTCGCACTGGCTTTCACCAGTTTTGTTTATATCTACCAAAATAAGATGAAAATTAAAAAATAGTTGTGTTATAGTTATCAATTTTATACTTACACGTTCCACAGGACACTGTAACATCAGACCCCAAAGAAACGCATTTGCATTCCTGATTATTATTTAATGCACAGTTTGTTACTCGCTTGTTCTTTTCACATGTGCAATCTGCAACAGTCAAAACACACCAGTTAGAAACCTCTGGGTGCTGTGCAAAGCAGCAAACAATTCTCTTTATCTTTTACATAAGACTCTAGTTTCTCAAGGTAATATAAATCCAAGGAACTTCATTATCTGTTATTCAGAAGGTATCTCTGCTCCCTTAACATGACCTTTTCCAACTCAGGCAGTTCATTCAAATTTAGCTCAGCCTTTCAATTCCATAAAAACTAGTTTACAAAACAATGTGAACACAAAACTATGAAAATTTAGAACTATTCCTCATTATGTGTGAATATGATGCTACATCAGAACATATTCCACCAAGCAGCCTGATCAAAGTTTGAATTTGGGGGGGGGGGGATCCTTCAAACGACAAAGAGACACAGATATCACAGCAGACATGTGTTCTCATACAAGGGAAACATTGCTTCTAAACGGAACCAAATATGAAATTTAAGTTCTTCTATTAAAATTAAACTTGAAAAAAATCTGCTGCTCAGTCACTGAGGAAGGAGAACAAGACCATGAAAAACATGAAGGCAAAACTACAAGGGTTCAATACTTTGAGAAATCATTGTTTTTTCAGATTATGTTGTTTCTTACTCTTAAGAGTATAGCACACTAGATAAGTTCCCCTAAATATCTGCAAAATGCAGTGGGGATTTCCTATTAAAACCACTGTACCCTAGTGGCTTAGGCCAGGAGCAGTCTTAGTGATTCCTCTGAGGCTCTGGGCACAAGTCCAGGATGGGGCCACAAAATCCTTGTCAGCCGTGCTGCCAGAGCCACCACTTATGAACAGCATGGGAAAACAGAGAACAAGAAAGTCTTGGAGCATCTGGAAGACTAATAAATTCATCCTGGCATAAACCTAGAAGCCAGTTACCCTAGCTCCAGATAGGGCAAGTGCAAGCAACAGCAGGTGCCTGCTTGAGTTCTCTTCCTCCTTCCCTCAGGGAACAGGGCTGTGGTCGGCTAGGGCTCTGGGCACCTGCCTCTGTTAACCATTGGTTACAACCTCCCCTGGCTTAGCCTTCTGTATATATTTGTTTTGAACTTGTTCAGCTGCTCAGATAGAGCTACTCCACCCATACACATAGTCTGAAGAGTTACACCAGTTTGGACTACAAGCTGTATACAAAACAGGTTAATAGTGCACACTCAACAAGTTGGCCTCTCCTAAAAGGTGTGGCTTACTACCCTTCATATCAAAAGGATCAAATTCAAATATCTAAAGAAATTTCTTAAGAAATCTCCTGGAATCTTTCTCTGTTCCCTCTGACGCTGGTCTCAAAATTCAGCCATTCCCAACCAACACCCCAATACCATTTTCAGGCTATTTACACTTTTAGAAAGGAGCACATATCATATTTAGTACTGTAGCCCTATAATTTCATATAATAGATCCATCTCAAAATCTGCAGTATGGTTGCGGTGGGTGGAAAGAGATTTTTTTCAAAATGCTATGAAGATGTCTCACAACACTCTATTTCCAAATGCTCTATGAACAGCATGGGAAAACAGAGAACAACAAGAAAGTCTTGGAGCATCTGAAAGACTAATACATTCATCCTGGCATAAGCCTTCCTGAGCCAAAGTCCAAGAGTTAAGCATGGTCTGATTTACAAAATCTTATGCCACAATAAACCCGCTAGTCTTTTAGATACTACAAAACAATTAATATGGCTACTGAAATATAACTTTAGAACCAATGGGGAGCCCAGGAAATCAAACTCTCCTTCCATCAAGCATGTTGCTCTTTGAGACAACGACCAAGTCAGCAGTTGCAAAGTCTCCTCCAAAGGGCAAAGCAAAGAAACCCTGAAGAGAATAGTACGGAAAGCAAACCTCCCTCAGTATAATGTAGTTGCTGGGTAGGGGAAAGGAAACCTAAGAAACGAGCAACTACTGCCTGTTTGTTAAGAATTTTAACTTCCGGCTGTAGAACAAACAGGCTTGTTTCGAATGGAATAGACAGGATCCCTCGGTTTGTACCATGCCAGGGACAGATTTAAGGCGTTTGATACCCAATAGTCAAGGTTTCTTCGCACAAAAACTACGCGCCACTGGCCTCTGAGAAATGGAGACTTCTATACAAGAAAGGCAGGCAGGCGTGCTTAATTGTCCGCCTGCCAGGAAGGCCACACCCGCCCGCGACCTGAGGGGGAAAGCCCTGCTGTGATGTAAAACGAGGCTTAGAAGCCGCCCCCGAGCTTGGGGCGTTTGTCGGGGAGCTTCCGCAGCTGCTCCCTCGAGGCCTGGACTCTTCAGGGCGTCGCCATGCCGCGACCTCGTGCCTCCGAAGCCGTCGATGAGCAGCCGGCTAGGCCGCCCCCCCCCCCGTCTCTCCAGGTGCGAGTGTCGGGCAGGTAGCACCAGAAGCCATGTTGCCCGATTTGTGGCGCACACCTAACCCAGATCTTCTCCTCCCCAACCCTCTCGGTAGCCAGACGGAGGTGGCGCCATTTTGTGGCGAATGGGACATGCCGCCCCGTCGATGAGGGCGCTTTACCCACGGCGTTATTAAATCTGCCCGCTCATAAACCGTCCCGGGGGGGGGGGAGAGATAAGAAAAGCAGAGAAGTGGCGGGAGAGAGTCTCCCTGAAGGCCCACTTACCGCCGTACACGGTGGCGATGAAAGCAAGGAGCGCCACCAGGGGCAATACGACCCTGCGGTGAAAAGCCATCACCAGGTAAAGAGTGGCGTGAGTTTTTCTCGGCGCCGCCCGCTTGGTCGAGCGTTTCTCCTCTTCGGGGACTCCTGATGCGCCCTTCCTGCCGCTTCTCCTTTCTCGAGCTGCCCAGCAGGTTCCGCGAGTAAACCAAACCCTTCTCACCGGGCCGCGCCCGCCGTCTCGGATTACACTCGGACCTCCTCTTCCTTCTCTCGCCAGCCGTCTCCTGGTCGCCCTCCTTCTCAGGTTCTCCTTTTCAGGCAGAGAACAAACGACGAGCCTCTCTCTGGCGCCCGCCTCCAAGCGCTTATAGCCCGCGGGGCCACCTGAGCGAAACCAGGCGCGGCCGGAGGGGGCGGGGCAGAAGGAACTCACCTGTGAGCTCGGCCGACCATATATAGGCTTCCGGATTGGAGGGGGAGAGACTGTCGGATGACGGAACAGACAACCCGCTTTGAATACGTCGAAGTGGTGTATAAAGCCTTCAGAAGGATTGTTTTAATTTGGGTTGAAGGACTCATGCGCAGGATGGCTTGGTTCATTTTTAGAGATATTTCTCAATTCCATTTTTGCTATGCATCCAGCTTTGTGGTGCCTTTATGAGCTTCTTTCAGGTAGTGTTTGTCTTGTATTTTATATACCAGAATCAGTGTGGTGTAGTGATTTATTAGAGTGTAGGAGTAGTATTTGGGAACCCCGGGTTTGAATTCCCACTGATGATGTAGAAGCTGACCTTGGGCCAGTCACACTCTCTTAGCTTAACTACTGCACACAGAGTTGTTGTGAGGATAAAATGGAGAAAAGTAGAATTATCTACGTGGCTTTGGGATACTTAGGAAGAAAAAACCAAGAGTCTAGTAGTGCCTTAAAGGCTAACAAAATTTGTGGTGGAATATGAGGTTTGGTGACTCACTGCTCACTTCTTCAGTGAGAAGATACTTCAGATATCTGAAGAAATGAGTAGTGATTCATGAAAGCTCGTACCCTGCCACAATTTTTTTTAGTCTTTAAGGTGCTACTGGATTTTCTACTGCTACAGACAGACTAACACGGATACCCATCTTGATCTATTTGTCAGAAAGGTGGGATTCAAATTAATTAAATAAATTATATCAGATTGTGTGGGGGGAAAGAATCAAATAGGATGGTAGTTACTTTGTATTAATAAGCATAGATTTTAATGGTATGGTTCTGTATAGAGACTAAGAGTGTTCCATAATAAACTGTTTTGAGGCCACTGAAATGGAAAACAGACTGAGTAATCAAATGGTTGAAATAAAGGATTAAAAATACTGATTTGGGACTATATAATGTTAATAAAATTTCATCAAAAAGCCTGGAGGATATGTGGTATGTAAACCTCCCAGAGCAGAAAAAAATGTGAATGATAAATTCATACTTGAATTAGACAATACATTTTAATTACATTGGAGGACTTTTAAGCAATATTTTTTAATCTTTACCTCCTGTAAGAGACAAAAGTTAGCTAATGGGCTCCTAGTTTCTTAATTACAGTCTTTAATAGGCTGGACTGGAATCAGTGATTCAACACAACATTTGGAAGAAATGTTAATGAATAAAACAACAACCCAAAAGGAAAAATGGTAAGGAACTGAGAAAAATTGTTGCCCCCCCCAAAAAAAACACATAGATTTGCTGCAGGGGTGTGTGTATTTCTTATGGACTTCTCTTGGTTGCAGGCTGAAGCTTGGGGAATGGCCATACTTCAGTAGGACATCCCATGCCTTATGTGCATGAGATCCTAGGTTCAATTCCCAGCACTTCTACTTGAAAAGATACCAGATACTAGACATTTGTTTGATGCCCCGAAGTACTGAATAATAATATTAGGTTACAGAACTGTAGTCAGTCAGAGCTCTCAGGCATATATTATATCTCTCAATGTGGGGAACATGTTTGTTCCTCATGAGTTACATATTCACCACAGTGAAATGCTAGTTAGCTGCGATGCATATAATTGCACTGTACTTTGAGTCTCAGACATCATCCCCAAGAGTGCCTAGAAAAATAGGTGTGAAATCCCTTGAACAAAAATACATATCCATGTAACCAAAATCCCCTGGGTTCCAAAGAAACAGCTATTCTATCTTCGCTTTCTGTCATGAATGTTAAGGAGCTTTGAATAAAATAACTATACTTATCTAATCTAGCTGTCTGCCTTTATTTTTTTTTGCCATCAAGTTGCAGCTAATTTATGGCAACCCATAGGGTTTCCAAGGCAAGAGATATTCAGAGGTGGCTTGCATTGTCTGCCTCTGCACAGCAACCCTGGACTTCCTTGGTGGTCTCCCATCCAAATACTAACCAGGACCAACCCTGCCTAGCTTCCAGATGGGGCTAGCCAAGTGAGGGCTCTGCCTTAGCTACATAGAAGTTAATGGTATATAAAGTACTACAAGTAAATTTATACCATATTAACATAGTAATACTAAATGCATAAAGGAGAATCATATGGAACAAAAATATTTTTAGATCCATTTGTCCTCAAGGAAAAGAATACGTTTCCATAAAGCATATTTATTCCCCAATTCTGTGGAGCCTTATGGAACATACACAGGAACAACTCTTTTACTCAGATTAATTCTAAATAGTACCTCTCACCCATTCCAAACTCACAATCATCAACACATTACCACTCCAAGAGAGAAGGGGGGGGGTTACTTCAGCAACCTGGATTATCAGCTAATATTGTCTTAGAAAGAATGGAACTCAACACTTAACATTATACCACAGGTGCTTTCTGCTTTCCTTTCTTTGC